ATTCGCAACCTATGTCGGGTCTAATTGTACATATGATCACAGCCTAAGTTGCTACTGGACTCAAATTTTGTTCTACTACTACAGGCTAACACAACTACCGGTGGGAAATTATCCTAGAATTAAAGTTAACAAGAGTAACTATAGCAGGTTCGATCCAACCATCCTTCAAAATGTCTTCCTCCTGGGAAAAGAGCATTCCTGAAATTTAATATCCAAGCTTCCCCCAAGGACCCTCCAACAGAAGAGTCACTTAAGTTGGAGGAAGGCTTCAAGCTTTGCTCAGTGGAGTGGTAGGAGAGGGGTAGGGTCCATCCCAGTATGGGCTGTCACTGCCTATCAGCTATTTATTTCAAGATTGGTTAAAAAAATGCAATTCCGTTAACCCAGTACATACTGGGGCACATACTGTATTTCTATGATGTTCGCAAACATTATTCAGAAGCTACCAACAACTGCCTTATTATCTTTAAGTTTTAAAGTTTAAGCCTCTGTTTCTTTGTCTAAGGGAAACTCTCGTGAGAAAAGCAGAAGCAAAACAATGGTTCTATCAGTGGTTCATGTACAGATCCTTTCTGAGTCACCATAATTCGCAGTCCTACAGAAAAAAAGCTTCTTTTGCATGTTATTACGCTTCAGTGCTACACACAGTATCATCAGAATCAGAAAGCAACTATTTGTGCAAGATAGTAAAAAGCCCAGTAGCAGCTTTAAAACTAACTAACTTTATTGTAGCATTAGCTTTTGAGAAACACAGCTCTTTTCGTCAGATGCCTCTGACTAAGAGAGCTGTGTTTCTCAAAAGCTTATGCTATAATAAAGTTAGTTAGTCTTAAAGCTGCTACTGGGCTTTTTACTATTTTGGAGCAACAGACGGCAGCAACACAGCTAACTCCTCTGGATCTATTTGTGCAAGAAAACTGTAGATTAAGAAGGTACATACTGAAATCTAGAAAAAACACAGAGGGACCCAGAATATCATACACTTTCCTTGATAAACATAAAGGAAATGCTGAGGCAGGGCTTAGTTTCAATGGAATCCTAAAAGCCTGTCAAAATGTATTTTCACCTCTAAGATAACAATTAATTCAATGGGAAAAAAGACTGTCTTGTGAGCTCAGAAACAGATTTCATCAGCTCAGGATTATTGAATATCATATTTGCTGGGAACACGATTTTCACCGAAGTTGGCAACATGTCATGGTCTTGTCCAGTCACTGCCCCATTGGATGGAGAACAAATGAATCAACTTTTTCCTTGACTTGGTCTTAACTTCTGCTGTAAATTAAATCCTTACACAAATGCTGTCTTCATGAAAGATGACATTATAAAACAAGGATTGTGGAGTCTTAATGGCAGCAGTGGTTATCAAAGTAACCTGCTTTACAACAGTGGAAAGAGACAACCTCATCGCATTTCAGAACTAAGGAACCTTTAGACCCAGCATGTACAGCCTTTAATAGGCATGACACTTCAATAAATGTAATATTATCTGGGTTTCTGGAGCTCTTTGAACTGTAAATCTCTCTCCTTCTGTGTACTGCTTCCCGCTCTCTCTACCCCCCTCCCTTCTTTCATCCCTTTTTCTGTCATATGTTAGTTGGGTTAATGCATGTCGTGTGAAAGGGGTTCCAAAGGACATTAATTCTTGTGGGACTATTTTGTTTTCTTGTATAATGAAGATGTCATTCATATATATATATACACACACACACACACACACACACACATATATATATACATATATACACACACACGCACACACACACACACACACACACATATATATAGAGAGAGAAAGACTGACTATACACACACACTACATAAAATATATAATTTTAAGTTCTTCTGGAAGACGTATTAAGCAATCTTATTTACAAAAATTATACTACAGAATTTTCAATAATTAATGAGCCCTGAGCCTTAAAATATGCTGATGGCATTAGCATCTGAGAAATAGCTGTGTAATCTAGGCTTCCGTCTCCCCAAAGAGACATTAGTTTTCCTACCACAGGAAGCGAGCTGTTAAGTGATCATCGATAGTAATGTCCATATGTTAGTACTTAAATGTCACTTATGCATTTGAGGAGGTACAAGTGGAATCAGAAACTCAGCTTCAGATTGCACTGTTATAGGAAAACTGAATTAAAAAAAAGAATATTAAAACTATTTGTGAGTATCTAGTGGCAAGTCGGGAAGATTTATAGCAGCTTACCTAGGTTTATTAAGAACAGATTAATTAACCCAGCTTTCCATCTTGGTAAAGAAGGCTTTTGACATACTCCCAAACGACATCCTATTCAGAAAGCTCTCAAGAAGCGCAACAGACACAAATCTCATATGGAGACCATGAGAGCAAGAGAGAGAGAAATAACACATGCAAAAGTCCGATTCTGAACTGAACAAGGGAAAAGGCAGAGACAGGGCTTTTCAACATAAAAACATGTTGTTCCTTTGACGTATAGCAATGCAGAGTTTTCCGGGCCTTATGGTGGGAGATAAAGAGGAGTAGAATCTATCTCACTTATACATCCCAACCTCCTTGTTCAAACTTTCCAGATGGGATCAAGAAACTGGAAACAGAGGAGGGCGCTGTATGTGAAGGAAGTGAGCAGAGCAGAGGCATAACTCGCCCAGAAATCCACAGCTTCTGTGAAGCCACTTGCCCTTGCATGTTGTATCAGAAGGTACCTTGTTTAGTAAAGGTAAAGGTTTCCCTTGCTCGAAAGCCAGTCGAATCCGACTCTAGGGTTGCGGTGCTCATCTCCGTTTCAAAGCCGAAGAGCCAGCGCTGTCCGAAGACGTTTCCGTGGTCATGTGGCCGGCATGACTAAACACCAAGGCGCCCGGAACGCTGTTACCTTCCCACTGAAGTGGTACCTATTTATCTACTTGCAATGTCTTGCTTTCGAACTGCTAGGTTGGCAGGAGCTGGAACTATATATAGGTGTGTGTGTGTGTGTGTGTGTGTATATGTGTGTATATATATGGTGATCAAGATTTATAAATGCAGTGCATGGTCCAGTGACAGTCAAGCATTTTATATCCCATTGCTTTAATTGAAAGAATTTGACAGATGGATAATTCCTTATCGTTCGAATTGTTTAAATCTCTGCTGAAAACAATGGGACCTAAAGCACTTGGATCACGCCCATATATTTTGAACACATGCAAATGCATTTCATGTTCCATATATGCAATAAATAAATGCAGTATATTTAATACATTTGGGGGATAATGCCCTAAAAATGATACTGAGCCGAAGCACTGTCTTCTTTTGACAATATAACCTCAGATAACGTTGCTGAACCATTTGAAGATCTTCTTAAATCCAATGGGTTGGATTGTATCAGTCCATTCTACTAATGACAGTACCCTTCCTTAGCACAATGAACCTTGCATTAGTGTGTGTGTGTGTGTGTGTGTGTGTGTGTGTGTGTTGGGAGAGCTACCAAGACACACACACATACACACAAACTAATTATGTCAACAGATGGTGCTGTGCCACAAAGAGCAGTGCTGTTTTGATTCAGCCAAAAAATGTCACAAACAAGAGAAAGCGAGCTAAGAATTGAATCCTGAGCAGAATCATACCCTTTTACGCACTCACTGCAAGGGAGGAAGGATTTATGCAGCGTACTCCCAGGCTCATGCACGCTTCCTCCAATTCCTCTTCCACATACACAATTCCTCCTCCTGAGAAACCTCAGTTTGCTGTGTCTCCTGAATTCAGGCACTGCTGTTTTTGCTTTGTTTGTTTTGCTGCCACGGTTTAATTCTGCTTTAGATTCCTGGTTTCCAGGCAGGGAACAAACAGCCATTAGTTAAAGTTGCCCAAATTTGGAAATCAGACAAACTGAGGTTTCTTTGAAACCAGGCAGTCTTGCCTCTACAGATGACTGGGAATGGCGGAGTGCATGGACCTGAGAATAAACCAGATTTATTCTTATTATGAACAAAGTCTAAAGCAAGTTAATGGATTCAAAATATCAGAAGACAGGTGAAGGGATTATTCATACAGTTCTATCCATGACAGGCAGGATATAAGCCTCTCATGAGAATGCACCCCTTCAGACATCAACCGGGCGATGGATTGTTTGAAGATGTCCCATCTGAA